CCCTGTGCATGAAGAAATTACTACAGCTGTGTTCCTTCTGAGATCTGTCAGCTCATGGAAGAGGCTGTTGTCAGACGTATACCGCCTTTCAACAATGTGTTAAAATTGCAGACTTTGCTCCCAGAAGATACTGATGACTGGTTGGTTTGTTCTTGCAGGAAAAGACTGTACCAATTCCTGAAAAACTGAATGAATGGGCACCACGACCTCCCCCGGAGTTTGTTAGAGATGTGATGGGTAAAGATACTATTCTTCACATAACTGTAGGGTCAGCTACATTAAGAAAAGTGTTTAACAGAAAAGGCCAGAGACAGTTTTCTGTTGTTGCTCATTTTGCTGGAGAAAAGAGGTAGGAAATGTGCTTCAAGAGTTGCTTTTCCAAATTTTATTTGGCTCCTGGGTTCCACTTTTCTGCTTGTTGTCAGAATGCAAAGTGAATGATGCTTGTAGCACTCCAGCACATGGACTCCACGCAGTGAAATAAGCTGCTGGTCTGGTGATGACAAGTAAATGATGATAAGTAAGTCTGTCCTTTCTGAGAGTGCTCTGGAAACATAATTATGAAGTCCTTCTTTTGACTGCTTTGAGTCTGAATCTCAGGCAGTGAGAAGCAGGCACGTACAGCGGGTGTGATTGTATGTGGTCAGGGAGGGAGCTGGCACTTCCGCAAGGAACGTGACCCAAGTGTTCTGCTTACATTTCACTTTTACCTGCACGGATTAAATGTAGTAGTTGTGGTATAATTTTCATCTGCATGTAGAAGTTCTGTCTTTCTGTGGGACCTTCATCCGTATTAATGATCCTTTCTAGAGGCTGACTTGTTCTTATTTTCAGAATAATTGATCTTGGACTAAAGCTTTTATACACTTCTGAATAAACTGTTCTGCGTATTGTAATTCCATCATGGCTTTTTCAAATAGCTTTGCTGTGTATTTGAACAGTCTTGTTTTTCTGGGAGCACCTGACGTGCTGGGATTCTGTTAGTATCAAGAGCACCCCTACTGCAGCCCCAGCTGCCATGTTTTAATTACTAGGTGTCTTCTTTTAGGCATGTATTTGTGCTTTGCATTGAGAAATGGCTCAGGAGACAGAGGAGGAGAATGGAGTGCGATGTTGAAGCTCCTGTGAGACTTCAACATGCAGACTGATGGCAGGAAGAGAGCGCTATAGGGATTTCATTTATGAAGAAATGGTCAAAGACTGTCAGTGGTATCTGTCTTGCATAGGAAGGTATAATATGATGGGTTTTGTCACCTTTCTGTTGACCGTTATTTTTTTGTATGAGATGCTGAAAACTAGTGAGAGGCAGCCTCGGTAGGATGTTTTAGCTCGCTTCTGCCTAGAAGAGAATGGGGTGTGCATTTGATTTCTAATTCTTTTACTGCCTCAATGTCCAGCTAAGACTGGATTCTCTCTAGGGGAGGAATTGACCAGTAGAAACTGCAGTGACCCGTAAGCATATGTTTTGCAGCTTGCTTTGGCTTTTGATTGTGAGTGATTTCAGCTTACATAAAATGGTGACACACTCTGTGTCTTGTTAGTGGGTTTTCATCTTACAGTGCCCTTTCATGTGTCCTGTCCCTCAGCATCTAGCTGTAGTCATTTGTGAGCATCTAGTATAATCTATTTTCTAGCAGACTAACTCTTCTTTATTGTAGGTTCCAGTGCTGGAGCTGGGAGTGGAGAGTTTCATGTGTACCGGCATCTTCGCCGGCGAGAGTACCAAAGGCAAGATTTCATGGATGCCATGGCTGAGAAGGTCAGCAGGACTCTTTTTATAATTCCACGCCCCCCTGCCACCCCCCGACCATTTGGTGTTCATTGCAAATCTTTTTTTCTGTTAAAGTCATGTACAAATAATTCAGTTCCAAACCACTCCTTATCAGAGGAAAAATGTAGGAGTATGTGATGCATGACGTCTTTGTCAGTATTGAAACATTGGTGTACTCTATCTTAGTTCAGTGGGGGTCCTACCACACAGTAAGACCACACGTGAATGTTTGTGTTCTCAGCTTGGACTGAAAATGCTTTAAAAACTGGAAAACCCTAATACCGCTGTCTTGCACAGACAGAATCAATGCAAGTGCCTGTACACAGAGTCCGGATCTCTTTCTTTTAAGTCTTGGTCAAGTAGAATAGCACCTCTTTCAGAGAGCATTATTGTTATACTCTCTCTTGGCCAAGATGAGTTCTTTGATCTGTATGTCAATGTTTGCGTCTCAAGTTATTCTCTTGTTTTTACTGAAACATTCTTTAGGGCAGAAGCCCAACCTCCCTCCTCTGTTTTGGTGAGGATTCCTCCCTCTAAAGGCTTCAATGTTTGGCTCAGGGTGCAGGTTAAAAATGCTGTCAGTACAGAAGTCATCCCTAAAATATGGGGTTTTGTATAAAGAAGCAGCCAGACAAAATCTGGCAAAGCTCCCTTCTGTATTTTGCTAACAAACTTCTCCCTAAAAGGACGTGACTTTTAAAAGAAGTATTTTAATTTAGATTGTGACCAAAGTGTGACATGTGATCAATTACAGCAAAGACTAGATGAGGAATTCCAGAAGAAACTGGAGAGGAATAAGATGATTGCAGAAGAACAAACAGCAAAACGCAGAAGGAAGCGGTAAGGGCAGATTGTTCCCGGGAGGCTTGACATGGAAACCCCCATGCCCTGTGCCTCATCTGTAGCTGCATGCTTTGGATAAATGCTGTCATTCTGTGTCTACATCTATCAGCTGAGAAGTCTGGCTGTGGAAATTAATCTTGTTAATGTCATTGTTTGGTTTCTGAAGGTAGCTGTAAACTTGACAGGCTTTGCTGGCATGGTTTATTTGCTGTGCGTCGCTAGCGGGATAACTTTTGACTGGTTGAGCAGCTTTTGCTGACACAGTGGTGTTGACCGCAACACGCCTTACTGCATGTTTTTTAGAACAATGTCAGAAAAGGTTTGTATGTACATCTGGCTTAAATAAATATCTGAAACAGCTGACACCAAGCAGCTTAAGTGCAAAAATAGGTGCTGCTTAATGGGTACACATATGGATTTGGACTAGCAGAGCATGGGGGGGCTTGATGCTGTCCTCCGTACACTGTCAGTGTGACTAATCCAGTTCAGTCTGTCAATACTGAAAAGGCCACTGATGTGTGCAGTATTGTTAAAATCAGTAGCTGCTTCTGCCGACCTCATTGAAATGTCCGGCAGGTCAAGTCTAGTAAGTTAGATGGAAAAAATATAAAGTATTAAATCCATCCTTCCCTTAAGTTTTAGACAAAGTGAAACAGTTACAAGATTGATGCTCTCAAGAAATTATAATGCAGTGGTACAAGAATTTAAATTCCACAGTCTGTCTGTGTCCACCATACCTTTCAGAAATAGCAGGGTATTGTGGCTCGGCTCTTTGAGAGGGTCTGACCCTGAGCAGCCTCTCTCTTGCTTCTTTGAGAATGAGGGGTTTACATCTTGGAGCTGAGAGTTGCTGCTGAAAGGCATGTGCACAATGACTCACTGGTGTATTAGCACAAAAGCGCATAACACAAACACTGTTGCCATCTTACTTTAATTTAGTGTGGTCCAACAGATGGCCAGCAAGTCAGATCTGGCCTGCTGCCTTTTTCCTGGCTGAGATGGAGAACAACCGTTCAAACAGCAAATGCTGGCTAAACACTCTGACACCTCCTTGTCTCCCTTCCTCCGTAGAGAGGTCTAATGGCATAGGTCCCAAGAGGCTTTGCCCTGTAGGAGCCTCTCTGACTTCCCTCACCACCCTTCTCTTATGACCTGACCTGACCAGTACAGTGCTTGGCGCTCTGTTCCAACAGAATTCATATATGGTGTTGAGAGAGGAACACGAATCCCCAGTCGATCTGCCCTGTCTCTGCCATTACCTGGTTACCTTTGCTTAGGCAAACAGAACTAGGTCGTATGAACTGAAATTCCCTCTTACCCCAGGGCCCAATATATCGATGAAGTACAGCCACAGATGAAGGTCAAAGCATACTGCCTTCTTTTTTTTTTTTTTCACTTAAAGTATATATTACTGATGATGACTTAATTTTTTTTTCCAATGTTCAGTTCCAGCAGTCTGGGTTTTGACACAGTTTTCTCTTTTTGTTTATTAGGCTAGGTAGCTAAAATGTAGGGGCAGTTTCATTTTTGCTCCTCTGTGTTCTTGGAGATTCTTGCATATCATAGTTTTGGTTGCAGTGGCATCATGGAAGACTTTACAAAAAATCCATTAGACTAAAGACAATGTAGAAAAGTTCCTGTTGATCATGTGTCTTAAGTTTGCTCTCGCTGAATTTTCAGTTGAGGCCAAATTCAAATTGAACTTATCTTCTGCAGTCTGTTTTTCCAAGATGTCTGTATTAGGTTCTTTATCAGCGTATGAACGTGCAGAAGCATTACAGTGTTGGATCTGCATAAGAGTCTTTTCTTCTTTGCTTTATAGACAGAAGTTAAAAGAGAAGAAACTGCAAGCTAAGAAAAACAAACTTGAACAAAAGAAGCAGGAAAAAGGTCAGTAAAATTTAGTTTTCTTTTCTCCAGACTTAGTTCTGTTCCCTAATTGATTTGGAAGGGTTTCTTCCACCGCCTGCCCCAAGCATTCTCGATACATGGATAGGAAGACTGAGCCTTAAGCTTGTTATTTGAGCTAATGTTTCAAAAGTCCTCTTTGAAAGCTGTCTATGCTGAGATTTAATCTTACAAATAGCTTGGCCGTTTGTGAATATTTTCCCTTTATTAGGGGAAATTTTGGACAGCAAACATTGGAACCAGAGTTTGTTGATTGTGGATGTTTTGCCCCAGCTATTCTGACAAACTGCAGATTTAGAACATCTTCTGCTAAAAAAGGCAATATTGTTAAAGGCTGTTCTTTTAAGTGTATTTTGAATGTGTACGGGAAAACAGGTGGAAAAAAACTGCACAGCTTGGACAGCAAGAAACAGAGTTACGATTTTGTGTGTAAGAAATGGAGCCACCTTGGTGCCATCTGTTCCACACGACTATCTTATTTCACATAGAAGTAAACGTGAAAAACCTGACTGCCTCTGTTCTCCTGCAGGCTTGAAAATTAATGTTCAGTGTAACTGTTTGCCCAATCTTCTGAATACTCATTGCTTCCTTTCAGTGAGCATATTTTAGCGTACTCTTTCAAACAGTTGTCCTTTGTGGATTAGCACACTAACTCTGCAGTAATTCTTAGTCTTAAAGCTACAACAGTTCCTGATAATTCTGTTAGAGCAGTGACTTGTCTGACAGTGCTACCTTATTTCTGCTTTGCTTTTCAAAATTGGATGTGTTTCAGCTGAACTGTTGCCAGCCTCCCATATAAACATGGGAGGACAAATTAATCATTAGGTTAATTTTACTTGTGACAGCAAGTGAATGTAGCAGAGTGGTGGGTTTTGGTGTTTTGTTTTGGCTCTGTTTTTTTTTTTTTTTTTTAAAGCTACTCATTTATGAATTGTGACTGGGAGGAGAATTTAAGTATGAGTCAACATACCTTTGTTCACTTTGAGTGAGCAAAACAGAATACCCATTCCTTTAGGGAGTGGCTGGAAGAGAGCTGGATCAGGGACTGGCACTGTGCTGCGGGACTGCCATGTACCAATTGTTGGGCTGGAATGTTTTTATTCAGCACAAATAAGTCATCTTCTGGAAGCCAGAATCCAAACTCCCCTGTCTCTAGAATAGTTCTTAGCTCTTTACAAGTTGTGGTTGTCTATTAAAATAAATAAATAAATAAAATCAGTGGCGATAGAATCCACTGATAGCCATTTGTAGTCTGATGAGAACAGGCTTGTCTTTTTCTAGTTTTGCGTGCCCTGGGTTGAGATCTGAGAGTTTTTCCAAATTAATTGAAGTGTATTTGTTGGATGTGGCAGGCAAACATTTATCTCCCTTTTTGAATGAATAAATAAAATCTCTGTGTTGCCGTCTTTCACCTTTGTTGTAGTAAAAACATTAAGAGTAAAGGTTGGTGCTAAATAAGATCAGCTGTTAAAGTTGCATTATTGTAGAGATCCCTAATAAAAAGTGAAAGTACAGAACTTCACCACGCGGTGGCATCACACCTCTAATCCTAAATCCTGGGTATAACCGATCAGAGCGTGAGCTGAGCATGACTTGGCTGAGAAACAGTGAAGGTACAATAGCTCCCAGTAGCAGAAGAATGGCTGTTAGATTCAGGTCCAGCTTAATGCTGTACCTAATTTTCATTATCCCTTATTTAATTTCTAGTAGGTGTTTTCTGGTCTTTTAGCATGCTTCACGAGTTTTCTGTGACCCTTGTTAACCTTACACGTATCTTAACGAGTTCCTGTACTTGCGGTATACCAAACAACTCTGTAAAAAGTTCATGGCACCTTGTGGAGTTTCTGTAAACTTGGATAGGTGTAGAAATACACCAAGTCTTGGCATGGCTTCCCAGTGCCTGCATGCTTTAACAGTGCTCTCTGATACTTGAAAGTTCATGCCGATACGCAGAGGTGAGATCGGGAATGAGATAATCGCTTCAACATTTGACAGCCTCTGTTTGAAACAGTGTTCGATAGGAGGTGGAGTTGTTTAATGATAGACTTGGCACGGTGGTAGTGTTGGAGGTAAGGGAATATTTCTCCAAGGGAGAATTTGATATTCTGAGCTCTCCGTCATTCGGTAGAATTAATATAACCTGATACATGCTTCATAAGTATCTGGGACTACTGTGTTGTGAGATATTTAACAAGGGAGACGCATGGGAATATGTTATCCCTCCGTACTAATTAGCGTGACCTAGTACACGTTTGCTTGGCACCTGAGACTGTTTTGTTTTGAAATACTTAACAAGGAAGACACGCGGGAATGTGTTATCATGGAATCATAGAATTGTCTAGGTTGGAGAAGACCTTTAAGATCATCAAGTCCAACCGTTAACCTAACCCTGCCATCCCACCACTAAACCCTGTCCCTAAGCACCTCATCTACCCTTCTTTTAAATACCTCCAGGGAGGGGGACTCGACCACCTCCCTGGACAGCCCATTCCAGAGCCTGACAACCCTTTCTGTGAAGAAATTTTTCCTAATGGGCAACCTAAACCTGCCCTGGCGCAACTTCAGACCATTTCCCCTCGTCCTATCATCCGTTACCAGGGAGAAGAGGCCGACCCCCCACCTCACTGCAGCCTCCTTTCAGGTAGTTGTAGAGGGCGATAAGGTCTCAATTCATACTGTTTGTGTTTTCAGAACCTGATCAATCTCAAGAGCAAGTCAGCAGCGAGGATGATGAAGAGGATAGCAAGGAGGAGGAAGAGAAGGAAGATGATGCTGAAGAGCCCAGTTTTGTGATGGGAAGAGGATGAGGCCTTTCAGGGACAGCTGGAAACACTGTTCATTGCTTTACATTCAGGAGCATGAAAGTCATCTCAGCCAAGCAGAACCCATTGGCGTACATTATATCTGCTTAACGGTGAATGACCTTCACGTCACAGGCCCAAGAGATATTGATAGAGAAATGCCAAATAAGAGATTTTTTTCTTAATTGCTTGTATAACTGCTGTGCAGTCTGCTCTAAGTTTGCTCTAAAGAGTCAGCCATAAGTCTCTGTGACCCTAGAGTTCTTTCTAACATGGCCCAGAGTGTTTTTCTGTCTGAAAGCTAAAACATATCCATTACTATTTAAGGGAAATATTACTGTGAGGGCTACGTATTCTACTTATGTCAAAGCTGGTAGCGGTGGGATATGTGAATCTAAGGGAAATGTTTAACCTAAAGTAGAAAAGTGGTCTGTAGCCAGACTCTCCTGCACTGTGAGTGTTCTGAATTCGGGGTTTTGTATGGGGTCATATCTAACCCAAAGAAATCAGTTTATGTTGCTAGACAAGTTCTATAGATTTTTAAGCAGGATCCCTTTTTTATTGCTAAAACTTTCCCTATTACTTTTCTTCCGTGTTTTTTAAATGAATAAAGGGGATGTGTTGGATTGTTCTGTCTTCTTTTTTTTTTTCTTGAAGAGGATTTCAGTAAAGAGATGTTTGCAGTGCTGCAGGAAGGGACAAAAAGAGCAAGTGATACTTCCATGAGCACATGGAAACACAGAAAAGGTGTTAGCTGCATTTACTTTACTTTTTGCTTTTGTATTGGAACGATATCTTTTCCAAAAGATTATGCCTGTAAAGCTTCCAAATGCTGTGGCAGAAAGGCTTGGAATTGGAATGGTTTTGCATGTGTTCAGCTTCATGTAATGACACTTGCCTTTCTCTCTGCTTGAGCTTTCTGCTTTGAACTTCGGGTTCCCTGGTAGGAGCCATAACATCCACACCCCATATGTATTTACTTACTGGTGCTTCAATGAAAAGCATAGGCAGTGGTGGTTTTATTTGTAACTGAGGTGGTTGTCTTTTCAGTGTATCTTTAATTAGAAGTGCCTGCTATCTTTCAGACATGCTCATCCCAGGACCTCGGCATCCAGAATGTGGTGCTACTTCTTCTCAAGCCTTTGCTAATGCCAAATTATTTAAAGCAAAAAAAAAACCAACAAAAAAACCCCAAAACCAAACCAAAAAAAACCCCATAAAAAGGGAGAATCTCTTTTTAGATTTAGCCTTTGGTGAACAGCGCTGCCAGAAATCCTGTTTTGCCTGAGCTGGCTTGTATGTAATGGCTTCCTGGTGATACTACCGTGGCGGTGGGGAAGCAGATGTGATCGAGTGCAAGTGCCGTCTGTGTTTTGTTCCCCTGTGTGTACCCAAAGACTTCAGAGCTGGGTAACTTGTGAGCTGCAAGGCCCATATCCCCACCCCACCCCCGGGTTAGGGATCTGCATGGAATTCTTTTCTGCTTAATCTCCACAGAGGCCGGTCCTTCCGAGTAAGTTGTGACAGTGTTTCATTCTGTAGCACTCACGATGCCGAATGGATGTTCTGCAGTTGTTGGCATTTTCCCGGTCGAGAGATGAGTTATGAGAATCGCTTCACCTGAATCCCCCTTAGGGCAGGTAAACCATGTTGATGCATCTGTGTCATAGGATGAGCCATAAACACGTTGTGATTTTTCTTAGCTTTCGTGGAAAAGAAGTAAGCGTCTCACAAATAAACAAAGACTGTTCGGCCTCTGAGCTTGTCGGGCTTTTGAGCTGAATAAACAAGTGCTGCCTTGCATTAAATAGAGCAGATGTTGCTGCACAAGGCCATGCTTCTCTCGGTCGGGAAGAAGATGGACTTGAGTTTGTCTTGCTGAACTAAACGAATTCAGGCTGCGTGGCCTCGTCCCGCCTCCCTAGGACGCCATCGTTACCCGTGCTGAATTATTCAGCCGCTACATTTTCTAGGAATGCAAAGTTTGTGGGTGAAATCCATAAAAAGCAGAGGATGCGTAGCTGAAAGCAGTATCTGCCTCGCGGCCTTTCTTGCTGGGGTGGCTGAACGCAGCAGTAGGAGCTGTATTTGGTAGGTGTTGCCGTGAATTCTGAAGAATGCTGTGCCGTGTTGTGGTGGTTCGTGTCAGTACTGTGTCTTCCAGAATACACAGGCACTTCAAAGGGAGCAGCTTGAAGAGCTGTTTCTAGGTTAAGACAAAATGCGAGTATTTTGTGACCTCAAAACGGGGAAAACGTTGTCTGTGGAGTAGAAAAAGGGAAGTGCACACTTGTGTAGTAAAATGAGGAACAATTCTACGATTGCTTCCTATTCCAAATATGGCACTGAAAAAGCAGTAATACCTTAAAGGCTTGAAACTGCCTAGGAGTCTGACCTGCGTATGTTATATTATTGCTCTGGATTCTTTTCTAGAGGAGTCCCGCTCCTTTCTCTGATGGAGACCAATCTTCAGGGGCGCAAGTTTGCTGCTGTTCCGCTTCTACAGGCATTCGTGCAAGCGTGGGACCCCGCGAGGCGGCAGAGTTAGTGCTGTAGCCCAGCAGAGGTGTTTGTGATCTGAGAGGTGAAGAGGGCGCTCAGGATAACAGATGTATTTGCCTCTTTTAAGTTTTTAGGAATTGTTTTCCTTTGTCTTTCCCCCACTCCCCAGGCAGAAATGAATTCATGAAGATGGGATTACCCTGTGATAAAGCTGACCCATTGTGCCGACTGCCTTTATCTCGTTGCCAAGGAAGGAACTCCCTCCTCTTTTCCCACAAATGTCCCCGTCCTTGCTCTTTTGATGGGTTTATACAGGATTTCCTAAAAAATCAGTAGAGGAGGAATGCAGGGAGATAGCAGCCTGGCCTCTGTAGCCGCCGTTATTCTCTGCTTCAGCCAGCGGACGCGTCAGCTCGGCGGAGGCCGAAGTCAGCACTGCCTTTTGACGTCTGTAAGTGGCGACTTTTTGCTGTATAATAATTGTAATAAAAGCACATTTACATCTCACTGCACCAATACCTTCTGTGTGGAAAGATTGAAAGACACAAGGTCCAGACAGAGTAATGCTTTTATCGTTGGCAGGGGGGTCACCCTGACCATGAACTTAGGGAGCCCCAGACCTGATTTTTTTTTTTTCCTACAGATGCTCGTTCACACAGGGAGCTCCGAGGGCCGTGGCCCCCAGGATCCCAGCCCGCTGCCGGAGCAGCTGTGGGGCTGCGGAGGCGCTGGGGACAGCTCGGGATGCCCTTCCTCTGTGACCGCTAAGTACGTTCCCCCGTTCGTTC